AGCATGCCACTGCACTCCAGCCTGGGTGACTGAGTGAGACTCCAACTCAAAAAAAAAAAGAGTTAACATTTTAGAATAAACTTTTATAAAATAAACATTTACAGAGTGATAACAGATATCAAAAAGTTCAACAGAGACTCTTGCCTTTACAAAACTATGTAAGTGTATTTCCAAATATTTCTAAATAACACATAAGAAAGAACATGTTAAAATATATAGTCTTAATATTTAGAGAAAAAGATCCCAGAATCATCTTAAAACACACACACATGAACTTGCATCTTAGCCAGCATTTTCAAGCAAGTTTGAAAGTTAGCTTTCTTACTTTCATACTAGAATGAACTTTTATAATAAAACACAATCACAGGATCATATAAAACAAATGTATGTGTATTTGGGGGAAGTGACACTAGAATAGTTTTGAATACCACTAGTGTTATTTATTTTGACTTTCAGGCATCAAGACATCAGAGAGGATTTGACCCACTCTATTTGTTTACATGGATAACAAACTCAGTAAGGATGGTGTAGCCAAGGGAGTATTAAGAAGAATATTAAAAGGGTAAAAGCCATAGCTGGTCATTGCATCTTCTCCTATTAAAGGATGATCAGAAAAAAAAGAGTTAACATTTTAGAATAAACTTTTATAAGATAAACATTTATAGAGTGATAACAGATATCAAAAATTCAACGGAGACTCTTGCCTTTACAAAACTATATAAGTGTATTTCTAAATACACTGATTCCAACACAACTATGTTGATAGTAATTTTAATATCCTTTCTTCTTAAAGTATATTTTCACAACTTGTGTTCTTTAAAATATTATTAAGAATCCAGTGAAAGGAAAATAAGAAAAAACCCAACGTTTCATGCTTTAAGTTAGAAAATGCTTTTTAAAACAGTGTCAACCCCCACTCCCTTTTTAAAAAACAGGTTTCCCAGAGCTTTTCATAAGTTCGTGTGCACTCTGAATCCCTATGACATGATTTTAGTACAGAGTACTTCCAGGTTTATTTGACTACAGGATCTTTTTTAGAGAGCACCAATTCATATTTCATGCAATATTGTTCAGTGTCACTACTTGGGAAATCCTACATCCATGGTCTCAGCAATGGTGTGTGTGTGTGTGTGTGTGTGTGTGTGTCTGGAATTAACTGGTAGAATCAGAAAGACAGATCTATTGCAATATTGTTCAGTGTCACTACTTGGGAAATGCTACATCTATGGTCTCAGCAATGGTGTGTGTGTGTGTGTGTGTGTGTGTGTGTGTGTCTGGAATTAACTGGTAGAATCAGAAAGACAGATCTATTGCAATATTGTTCAGTGTCACTACTTGGGAAATGCTACATCTATGGTCTCAGCAATGGTGTGTGTGTGTGTGTGTGTGTGTGTGTGTGTGTGTCTGGAATTAACTGGTAGAATCAGAAAGACAGATCCATTGCGTGGTGTATTAGTTTCTGATTGCTACTATAACAAATTAGCACAAACTTAAGTGACTTAAAACAACACAAATATATTATCTTACAGTGCTGAATGTAGAAGTCTGACACGGGTCTCATTGGGCTAAAATCAAGGTGTTGACAGGACTGCCTCTAGGGAGAATGTGTTCTTTGCCTTTTCTACTTCTTGAGGCTACCCCATTCCTTGGCTCATGGCCCACTTCCTCCATCTTCAAAGCAAGTGACCTGACATCTCTTGATCATCTTCTGTAGTTATAGCTCCCTCTGATCACAGCCAAGGAAAGTCCTGAGCGTTTAAAAGTTCATTTTAAAGACCCATGTGATTAGATTAGGCCCACTTGGACAGGCCAGGATAATCTCCCTCCCTACTGCAACATCAGCAAAGTCCCCCTTTTCCATGTAAGGTAACATATTCACAGATTTTAAGGATGAGGTTTTGGACATCTTTAAGGACCATTATTCTGCCAGCCACGTAGGGGTTGGTAAGAGTAGCCTGAGAGTTCTGGCAAGCAAACAAGGTTGAGGAGTAAGAAGAAAGTAACTAAGAGTCATATCTGGTTTCAAAAGTTGGCTAGATCATCACCTGTGAAACACTGGCAAATTACTTGAACACTACAAACTTTGCGAGAGGTCAAAAATAATATCTACATCACAGGGTCATTGTAGGATTAAAATAGATGATACATGTAAAGCATCTGATAGATAATAATTACAATAAATTGTAGTTGATACTATTGCCAATTTTTTGCTATGTTTACCTGCAGAAAAATGCTATTCAAAGTTCTTGTCTCTCTGAAGGATGCTGATTGACAAACTCTATTTAAATCAGTGACATCAGTATGACCAACAGCCATAGGTTAATTCACATCCTATTGTTAAGGTGCGTTAATATCTTTTTTTCCCCCCCAGAAGGACCATGCCTGCCTAGAGAACAAGGGCTTGATACTTCTTGAAAGTTGCTAATCACATCTGGTTTAGCTTTAGACATTTTCTGGGATTTTGCCAGCAGCTACGACACTTTAATGGCTACAATAAACCTCAAAGCCTCATCAAATCTTTGTTGTATGTGTGAAAATTATGTCCTCTTCAATTAAACATTCAATCTCAGCTCACACCAAGGCCTTATGGAAAAGGAGGTGAAACCTGAATGGAAATGTGAGATGAAACGGACCGCCACGATTCTGGCCATCTTGCCAGATGGTATTTAGAAGAAAAAGAAATTCATTAGAGAACCCATGGTCTGTATTTTCTTTAAATATTTACTGGGTACCTTTCATGTGTTGAGAACACTTGCATCTCTAAAGATTAGCAGGGCATTTTTGTTTAAATATTCAATGTGTGTGGGGTGAGGGGATTCGTTTCCTTATTTGCCTTTGTAGGACTTCATGTGATTTGGGGAAGCCCAGTACAGAGAAGAAAAATAATTGAGGCAATGTTTAGTTTTCTTTTCTAAAGCAGTGTCACTAATTTCAGAAGCTCTTGTATTGTCTTAAAATTGGTTGAAAAAAGTTGTCAGTTGAGTAGTAAGAGGTCCAGAACGACACTTAAGAGCCTCCCTAGACAAAACAAGGTGTAGCAAAGTGAGGAGCTTTGGGGGAACCCCTGCCTCTCCATTCTCCTCCCAATTCACTCTTCTTATCCTCTTGCTATTTATCATCAAACTTACAGGGACATCAAGGGGAGGCAGTCCCTGAATGGAGAAGGGGAAAGATCAAACAGAGATCAGGTTTCTGCTCAAAAGACTACATGAGAGGTCAGGCCAAGGGTTTTACAAGGGGCAAAGAAACAAGAAGGAATGGGCATATTTGGGGACAATCCATTAGGTAAACAAGCTCAGGTCTTCCTCTGTCATTGCTAACCCTTGCTGCCACCCTGAGGACTGACCTGGGCCCTAATTCTGCCATTGGAGAGGGACAGATATAACTGCTAGGTGATGGCTTGCTATGCTTTATCATAATATGAATTGAGCTCCTCATCTCAGATATGGATATAACTGTCAATTCTTCAGCAGGGAGAAAGTAATGATCACAAGTTCATATACCTTATTCCTAAAGGAAGCATCCATTTGGTTGAGTTAACTCTCTCAACCACATCAATGGGATAAGAAACTCTGCATGTTCCTTTAAAAAGAATATTCAGGTAGAAATACACACTTGTAACCACTAGCCTTTTTAAGCAAGTTTTATGCCCAAAGTCAAAATAAATGGCTCTCCCTGCCACCAGGAGCAGATCTTTCCCACTTTACTTCCATTTCTAAGCTATTCTCAGCCTAAGACTTAGATTTCTGAGTACTCTTTCACAATAAACATTTTTAAAATGTTTATTTTATGTCTTAGTGTAAAAATATTCCTGGTTGAAGCTCTTCATTTCCTCAAGCTCTCTTTCTGGCACTCTGGACTCCATTTCCACATTAACACGCTCCCTAAATCCTCTGTAGGGCTCCTCAATTGGCATTATACAAGCTCCAAGGCAAGTATTTATATTCTTGGACAAGGACATGTCTCCACAGTGAAAACACGAGACTCTAGAAATGCCAAAGGAAAATTCCTGCCCAAGTGAGACATATTTTCACCTTTTAAAAAAGCCAAAAAGGGGCTTTTATCATTTTCTTTTGAATAATTAAAAATGTAAATTAAACTAAAATAGAATGTATAGTATGGGCCTTACAATCATTGTTAGAAACATATACATAAAGCAAACATACAGGAACATGTGTGTGTATGCATGCACACATGTATGATATGTAGAGAGAGCAGCAGAGTAAACGAGCTAAGAAAATGTGTGTGCGTTCTAATAGGATAGACTTGATTTGAGCTCAGTAAATCTGCTTCTTACTGGCTGTGTGAACACAACTTCTCTAAGCCTCATTTTTCTCATCTGTAAAACGGGGTTAATGAGGTTCCTGCTGAGAGGGTTGTTATACGAATTATATGCAATAACAGTAAGTTTTCAATATGTGGTTGCTGCTATTATCATGATTAAAGTTATAACTATTAAATGTCAGAAAATATTTAGATATAATAACAAGATTTGATATAACAAGCAAACAGTCAGCACTAGTAAAAGAGAGATTGGTAAATACAGTGCCTCCAGTGTGTAGTGACAGAAGGTGTCATGAGGGCTGTAGTGTACCATTACCGAACTCTGCACCAATCCCACTCCATAAGCCAGAGATAAACAATCCTTTTAAAACTTTTTAAAAAAGTAATCTCAGCTGGGCGCAATGACTCACGCTTGTAGTCCCAGCACTTTGGGAGATGGAGGGAAGAGGATTGCCTGAGCCCAGGGGTTTGAGACCAGCCTGGGCAACTTGGTGAGACCTCATCTCTACAATAAATCAATAAATTAGACGGGCATGGTGGCGCGTGCCTGTAGTTCCAGCTACTTGGAAGGTGAGGCGGAAGAATCACCTGAGCCCAGCAGGCCATGAGCGTGCCATGGCACTCTAGCCTGGGGGACAGAGTGAGACTCCAACTAAATAAACAAAACAAAACAGTAATCTAAGCTACTATCATAATAAGAGAACAGTTCCTATTACCTTCTAGTTGCCTCTTCAGTTTTCTCAAATCTTTAATGAGGTCTTCAAACTTGACTTGGGAGGCCAGAAAGAAATCTTGTGGTTCAGGCAGGGGGAAAACACTTTTTTCTGTTCCGGCTTCCTAAAAGATATAATAAACAAAAGTACATTATATTTCTCAATCATCACTTGCAGTTGAAATGCCAAAGCACTGGTTAGAAAAAAAAGTTTTTTATTGGATGGTTGAATAAAAAAATCATAGCAGGGCTCACCAGTTATTCCTAAATATGGCCTTGTGACTTTAAAGTGCTTTTGTGTCCTTCATAATATATTTTTTGGTCTGATTGGCAATAAGGCTGGCTATCTATAGCTCTGGCATGGGTTGGGTTCTTTTTGCCTCATGAATCAAAGAGAAAATTGTCAGGTCTGTCCTAGTCTCAGACATTCTACTCCCATGGAAAAAGGCACAGGGGAACACGTGAAAGTACTTACATTTAAATCCCTGTTTGAGTTACACATGCTAGCAATTAGATAAGTCATCTTTGGGGTATGCCAATGGGTATGAATTGGAAGGTGCTGGATAAGAAGGCACTGCAATGGAAGATGAGATAGCACTCCTTTCACTTTTACCCACTTTCCTCTGCAGCTTAAAGCTCTTGCACATGCGTGTGTGTGTATTTGATCACATTCTTCATATATCTCAAAAGCGTTTCTAAATGTTGTTTGGCTTATCTGAGCAGTCCTTTACTTAGGGCCTCTACCTTTACTGAGGGTTGGGTATAGTTTTGACAAGCTCCACAGCCATACCTAACAGAGGATCTAAGCTGAGAAACGTCTTGAGAGACAAAAGCTTCAGGCACACTAAAGCATAAACTGAGCCTTAAATATCTTTTCCAGTCTAGCTCGCTTTCTAAGTTGTTTAACGTAAGCTTTGTATCTTGCACATCTTAGGCAGTCTTCAGTTATTTCTCTCTCCTCACAGGCTACTTTGCCAGCTTTCCTTCACATTCCATCTTCCCTACTGCCATTAGGACTAATTCCAAACTTTAAAACTGCTTTACAAGGTACTTTATGATCTGGCCTCTGTCTACATCTCCAGCCTTATTTTTACCTTTCCCCTATCTGCAACTCTCTTTCCCAAACCTTCACAAAATCATAGAACAGGCTCAATCTCTTACCTCTAGGCCTGTGTCTATAAAATTGTCCCTGTCCAACCCTTCCTAGAGCCTCTTATACCTCCTTATTCACACTCACCCTTCATATCTCAAAACAAACATCACTTCCTCAAAGGTTTTCCCTAACTCCCAGCCTGCACTTGAGTGTTTTTCTCCTGTTCTCCAAGAACCTCTGACACTTACCATTATCATGGCACTTATCACCATTCATTTTAAAACTGCTAAGGTAGCTTATATGTCTATCACACTAGACTATAAACACCTCAAACTCAGAAACTGACTCTTGGTCGTGATATAGTAAACAACATCTGGCATATCAATAAACGTTAACTTTCGTTGGTGGACACCACTACAGAAGCCTATAAAACATTGTTCTGGGAAGTTTGTACCTTTAGCAGAAAACATCTAACTTATCGCTATATTTTCTTATGGTTTCAGGAATCTACTGGACCCTTCCCTTTCCTTTAAGGTTAGTAGCTTTTCTCAGATGCTAGGGGAGGGTGATTTTCCTCACTTTATCAGAACACAGTGTACTTGTTTTTTTCCCCTTCCTATACTTATTTTACAACTTTAAAAACAATGGCAGCAATACCCTAGTTTGAGTGCCAAGATGGAACAACATCTAAGATGCTTACCACAAAGCTTCATAGCAATCTACACTGGAAGACTCAGGCATAATATCTGTATTTTCCAGGATTTTTATCAGTCTCAGCCCTTGTTTCAACTTTTTTTCCTTCTCTTTCTCTCTCTCTCTCTCTCTTTTTGAGCTAGAAAAAGAGAAAATGCAGCCGAGCAAATCAGGCTGGTTGCAGTTCTTGTGAAAGCTGCTCAGAGTTCAACAGACATGACTCTACATGGGTTTCTTTAAACTTCACAGACCTAGACTTGGACCAAAAACCAAGGGATGAGAAGAAGGAAGCTTGGAGCAGGAATTACCTTTCTTCAGCTAATTGCTCATCACCACTAACCACAAAAATCATCACTTATGCTCCTAGAGGAAAGGGCTAGTTTCATAAATCACATAATTCTACACTCTTGTTGAGTGAAATGCATTTTGCACAGTGAAAGCCAGAGGGGCACCACATAAATGCGGACTTATTTTTCCCAGACCAAGCTATCCCACGTTTGAAACTATTCTCACTGTAAGAGTTTTTCCTATGTGAATGTGAAGTTGGTTCCATTGGGTTCAGTCATCTTCAATGACAGCGTACTTCATGGGTGAAGTTCAGCCTTCTCCCACAATGCATTAGACGTGATCAAGGCTGGGACTACCAGTAAATCTGCCCATGCCAACCTAGGGTTAGAAATGTCTCTTGTAAATTGCCTGTGATATCGTTGCCATTTTTTTTTTTTTTTTTTTTTAATAAGAAGGAACAAATTTTCCTTTTCTTGTTAACTTCCAAGAGTTCATTATCTATCACGTTGCAATATGTTATTTAGATGCTGGTTTTAAGTTTTTTTGAGATACCAAAATGTTCTTAATATTCATTAGGAACTTTTATGCATTCAAAGTTATCATTTTTGCCATTTATGGTTTCTGCTTTAAATTGAATGCTTTGAGAGGACTTTGTAACCCCAAGATCAGAAAAACTATTTACCTATATTTGCTTACATACCTTTTATGGTTTCATTTTGTGTTTGTTTCTACATTTGGTTCTTTTGTTCTTTAGAAATTTCCTTTGGTCGCTGGTATGAGTTCTATGAGATAATTTGATTTCTTCCTCTACCCAGTTACTTGAAATTTCTCTTTTATCACATAGTTAACACATATTGACTTAGATCCATTTCTGATATTTCCTTTCTATTTTCTTGAGTTTTTTGATCTGTTAGTCTATCATTCCACACTTTCAGTCATTACAACTTTATAATACACCCAGATGTATGAATGGATGTGAATGATTCTCATTATTTTTATTTTGATCAAATTTCATCCAATTAATTTTACATACAATATTATTTAAATCATTTTGTCAATTTCTTTCTTTCTTTCTTTCTTTCTTTTTTTTGAGTTGGAGTCTCACTCTGTCACCCAGACTGGAGTCCAGTGGCATGTTCCCGGCCACTGCAACCTCGACTTGCTGGGCTCCGGCGATCCTTCTGCCTCAGCCTTCTAAGTAGCTGGAACTACAGGCATGCACTACCACGCCCAGCTAAATTTTCATTTTTATTTATTTATTTATTTATTTTTTTGAGTTGGAGTTTCACTCTGACACCCAGACTGGAGTGCAGTGGCCGCTCCCGGCCACCACAGCCTCAACCTGCTGGGCTCCGGCGATCTTTCCGCCTCAGCCTTCCAAGTAGCTGGAACTACAGGCGCGCACTATTACACCCGGCTGATTTTTTATTTATTGTAGAGATGAGGTCTCGCCAAGTTGCCCAGGCGGGTCTCGAACCCGCGGATTCAGGCAATTCACTCACCTCGGCCTTCCAAGGCGCGAGATTACAGGCTGAGCCACCGAGTCCCACCTAATTTTTTATTTTTATTGTAGAGATGAGGTCTCGCCAAGTTGCCCAGGTGAGTCTCGAACCTGTGGGCTCAGGCAATCCACTCACCTCAGCCTCCCAAAGCGCTGGGACTACAGGCTGAGCCACCGAGCCTGGCTCATTTTGTCAATTTCTAAGATTGACTGGAATGTTGACTGGTATTTTCACTAAAAGTATACGTCACTCTATTTTCTTAATCGTGCTGAAAACCTATGTAACGTGGTATTTGTCCTCTTAATAAATCAAGTGTATAGTACAGTACTAACTGTAAGCACACTGGTGTACAGCAGCTCTCTAGAACTTTTCCATCTTGCATAACTGAAACTCTGTATCTGTTGACCCTCCACTACCCATTTCCTCCTGCCCCCACCATTCTACTTTCTGTTCCCATGAGTTTGACTACTTAAGATACTTATATAAATGGAATCATGCAATATTTGTCCTTCTGTGACTGGACCATTTTTATGTGGTATAAATGTCCTCAAGGGTGATCCATGTTGTAGCATATGACAGGATTTCCTTTATGTTTGAATAAATTCCATAGTACATATATACCACATTTTCTTTGTCCTTTCATCTGTTGATGGACATTTTAGGTTGTTTCCAAATCTTGACTATCCTGAATAATGCTGCAATAAACATAGGAGCATAAATGTCTTTTTAAGATCTTGGTTACAATTCTTCTGGATATATACCCAGAAGCGGGAATGCTGGATCATTTTTAATTTCTATTAAAAATGGTAGTTCTACTTTTAATTTCTGGGGAGCCTCCATACTGTTTTCCATAGCAGCTGCATTATTTTTATATTCCCACCAACAGTATTCAAAGGTTCCAATTTTTCCACATCCTTGTCAATACATGTTATTTGTGTGTGTGTGTGTGTGCGTGTGTGTGTGTGTGTGTGTGTGAGAGAGAGAGATAACAATTATCTAACAGGCATGAGGGGATATATCACTGTGGTTGTGATTTGCATTTCCCTGGTGGTTAGTGATGTTCGCACCTGTTTGGTCTGTGTATGTCTTATTTGAAGAAATGTCTAGGTCATTTGTCCATTAAAAAATTTTTTTTCTTTCAATCTATATTTTTCAGTCCTTCTGACTCAGTAGAATTGTATAAATTTCTTCACAAGGGTCTATACTTTTATGGTTGTCTATAACACATATATTTGTAACATTATTGGAAACTTTTTCCAAAATATCTTTAAAGTTATTATTTCTCGAGAGGATTAAAGACTAGAGACAAAGATAATTTCAGTTAAGAAGAACATCAGAAGTAAAAGCACGTTAGCAAGAAAGCTCAGGGTATGTTGGGAAAACATCAAATCTTGAGTTGGATCACAGAATATGTATGGGGGACAGTAATAAAAGCATGGTTGTAAAATACTGGAATTAAGTTAGGTAGTCTTAATTTGCTTGAAAATGGGGAGTCATTTCTGTTTTGAGTAAAAAAATGATATCATGAGAACTAGGCAAAAAAGGTGTGGGATGGCCTGGAGTGGTAGTACTTAGAGGTAGAAAATCAATCTGGAAAGCAATTGAAATACTCTAGGTGAGTTACCTTAAAAGCCTGAATAAGCTGGGGTCAGCAGGACAGAAAACCAGGGAAGGGAAATATATCAGAAACAACATAGTTGGAGGACAGAGAGGAAGAACAAAGGAGGACATGGCTTCATGCCAGAGTGACCAAAAACTATGATCCTTAACAGAAATAGGGGAGAACTTTGAAAGAGGGAGAAATGATGAGACTGACTGTAGATATATTGATAACAGATAGATAAGCCAAGCAGGAGGGTAGAAGAAATTATTGAAGAGTTCATCAGCGCCTAGCTTGTCTTCCAGATGAAATTGTAGGCCTTTTAAAATAAGGCCCTAGCCGGGCTCGGTGGCTCAGCCTGTAATCCCATGCCTTTGGGAGGCTGAGGTGAGTGGATTGCCTGAGCCCGTGGGTTCAAGACGCACCTGGGCAACTTGGCAAGACTTCATCTCTACAATAAATCAAAAACTAGCCAGGTGTGGTAGCGTGCACCTGTAGTTCCAGTTACTTGGAAGGCTGAGGCGGAAGGATCACCGGAGCCCAGCAGGTCGAGGCTGCAGTGGCCGGGAGCAGCCACTGCACTCCAGTCTGGGCGACAGAGTGAGACTCCAACTCAAAAAATAAAATAAAATAAAATAAAATAAAATAAAATAAAATAAAATAAAATAAGGCCCTAAGATCTTTACCTTTCTACCCTCAGTGACTCAAAAAAACTCTGCTTACATGGACAGTTAGGCAGGAGTATAGCATTTTACTTTGAGACTTTTTCCATCCATGTTTATTGTTATATTTCTCAACAACTTATAACAGTACCTCTTTCTTCTCAAAATTAGATCTCCTTGTTCTCAGTTTAACAAGAAGGAATAAAACAGAAACCTGTGCTCAGGAAGATTCTCACATAAATGTTTATTTTATTTATTTATTTTTATTTATTTATTTTTTGAGTTGGAGTCTCACTCAGTCACCCAGACTGGAGTGCAGTGGCCGCTCCCGGCCACCGCAGCCTCGACCTGCTGGGCTCCGGCGATCTTTCCGCCTCAGCCTTCTGAGTAGCCGGAATTACAGGCATGCGCTACCACACCCGGCTGATTTTTAGATTTATTGTAGAGATGAGGTCTCGCTGCCCAGGTGGGTCTCGAACCCGCCGGTTCAGGCAATCCACTCACCTCAGCCTCCCAAAGGTGCGGGATTACAGGCTGAGCCACCGAGCCCGGCATAAATGTTTATCTTTAATTGCAAATATCATCTAAGTAGAGAAGATGGGTTTTTGAAATTCTACATCTTCAGCTCGTTCACAGATGCATTTCTGATAAAATATTGAATGTTACTGCATGGCAATTTATTAAATTTTATTCTGCATCATCAGAATCCAGGGTGGATCTAGATTTCACAGAGGACCTCACAATCTGGTCACAAGGCACCGAGGTAACTGGGGTCTCTGTGAAGCTGTTACATGATGGATTGAGAATCAGTAGATCTGTGCCCCTGAATAATGCTTCCCTTAATAAGAGTCAACTAAACTCTCTTGGCTTCAGTGTTTTCATCTGTAAACCAAAGAGGTTTACAGGCTGGAGAGCTCTCAAATTCTGTTGGACTTGAAATTCATCCATCCATCTATCATCCCATTTCTGAATGCCAACAATACATCAGAGTTGAAACCCTGTTCGTACAGTTTTCCACATAATACCATTTCTTACCTGATCATAGTAACGCAGGTAATACTTCACCACATAGTCCACCAGATTAATCCCATTATCCTAGGTTTAAAAGAGAAACTTAAGTGAAAATCATTCCCATGAGACTGCCATGTTATACAGTTGGGAGCTGAGATCTCAGGCTGTGAAACTTCTAATTTGTGAAACATGGTTCTAATTCTTTTCGATACGGGCAAGACTTTTCTCCTTCCTCCTTTTCCCATAATTTTTTAATGCCAGTTCTACAAAGAAATGACACCACGTTATCCTTTGTGGGGGAAAACAAACGGATAGTCTGCAAGACCTTTGAGATGATGGTTAAAACAAACAAACTAAAATTTGTTTCCTAATATTTTCTGGCATAAAGCTATGGCAGCAGAGGACAGGAGGGAGCTAAAGAGAACCAGGGACCAGAAAAGAAACCGTCCCTCCCTTCCCACCTTTCAAAAAAAATGTGTGTTCTTAATGGCGTGAAAAACAATCAGGGCCAGCTTAAAAGGAGCGCCATGCCACTTTACGACCCTGGGAGGCCAGGGGGAGCAGGCCCTCCCACAAGGCGGCCTTTGTGTCTTGTTCACAGGGGTCTAATTCTAATTTGCCTGTGTGTTTTCCCTCCCTCCACCCCCTTTCCCCCAAGGGACGCCTAGATATGGGCTGGTTGTTTCTAAAGAGGTAGCTCTGCAGGGGTGTGGAGCCAAGTGATAATCAGGCTCCAGGAGTTTGACAGTAGACCCCCAGCTCAATTGTTGTGGGCAAAAGAATAATTCAAATGCTCAGTTCAATAGGTGATTCAACATTGCTCTGCCACTCAGGAATGAGTAAATTACAAGAAGCCAACACTAAATTTAAACAGCCTCTAGCCTGCTCACTAGGCTAATACTGTATTCTGTTTTATTCTCTCATGGAGGTCATAGTTCATTACTTGATTGTGCACATTAGAGCACACAATGATGGGGAGATTGTGTCACTGAAAATAAGATCTAACACGAAAAAAACCTATCTTTTATTCAAAAGTCAAAGAAAAGAATGCGTGCTCTAATGGAAATGATTGTTAGGGGGAGAAGGGAGATAAATGGAACAATCTGGAATACTTAAAAAAAACTAAAGGTAGAAAAAGAAAATTATGGCAGATCATAGAAACTCATTATGAAAAATAAATAAATACCCGACTTTTGACATCCTTCAGTTTGGGTAGAATTTCTAAGCTATATCCATCGGCTTGTCCCCGAGTCCTATTTCCTCCATTCATGTAATTTCCAAAAGCCAGAATGAGAGCTAAAATATCCTTCACACTCTTCATGTGCAGCAAGCCCTGTGAGGGCAAACACCAATTATTATGGGATAGAACTCCATGTGTACCCATGTTCATTCAACAACAAATATTTATTGAGTACCCAACAGGCAGTTTGGTGGCTTGTTACGAACAGGAATAATAGTGAAATAAAAAATACAGTTTACTAAGCCACACGTGTCTTTAAAAACACATTAACAACCATAATTTTCTATCCACTCGACAAATTAATTATAAACGTATTTCAGTATTTCAGTATTGAGGATTAACTATTAGTATTTATATTTTCATTTGAGCCAATTTAATTTTTAATAATTATTTAAAAGTATTTATAAATTGTAAAAAAGGGAGCTGGTGTAGTTAGGCTTAACCTTTGATGACTTCTCAGTAGAAAGGGGCTTCTCTTTTGAGGATGTGTTTTGTGACTATGTATCTATATAAACAATATGACTAAGTGCAGAATAGACATAATAGCAGACATGTTCTTTCGTATTCATGGGTATAAACCTCAGAGGTGAACTATAATAATGTATTTTAAGGCCATAGATCATGTTTATTAAATTTATTAAATTTACATTTATTAAGTGCTTACTGTGTGTCTATTATTTTTTACAATTTCAAGCTGTTTAGGATTTTCTTCAGCTCTCTGTTTTATTTGTTTTTCTTTTTATTTATTTATTTATTTATTGCTTCAAGGGCCAATTTTTAAATGGAAGTGTTTTTTTCTTTCTTTACGGTCTCAATTGACTTTCTTTTCTTTTCTTTTAGGGTAAAAAAAGAAAGCAAAATTCAGCTCTAGGCAGACTTCTGCTCCTGCTCCTGCCTTTCAGGTAATGTTTAGCGGATGTATAATATACTATGATAATATTTACTTTTCTAATATTGAAATCCCTCCTATCTTGGAAGAAAAAATCATGCCTCCAGATAAGCAACTAAGTACTATGGTATTTGTGGAGAAGAATAAATACTGTGTTTTTAAGAGTGTGGAACAACTGTGAGAAAAAGCCAAGTGTAAGAATTTAGCTTTATGAACAAAATCATGAATTTCGCAGCAACCTGGCTGGAACTAGAGTCTATAATACTGAGTGACCTCTCACAGAAACAAAGATCTGAGTATCACATGTTATCACTCATATAATGGACCTTGAACATCCAGTGTAATACTATAAGAAAATGACTGACGGTACTGGGAAACTATGGGAGGGAGGAGGGAGATGGGATTAACAGTAGCAAATATCTGTCTGGGGATGGGGAAACACCTCTTATCAACAGGGTGCCTGAATGAAACGTAATTGTACACCTAACCCTTTACTGTACCTCCCAAAACCATAATAAAAAATATTGATTATGAAAAAAATTTTAAAAAATCAAAATCACAAATATATATATATCACTCATGAACATAGATGCAACAATCCCCCCCAAATATTAGCAAATAAAATTCAACAATATATAAAAACAATTACACAACACAACCAAATGGTGTTTATCACAGGGATGCAAGGCTGGTTCAACATACAAAAATCAATTAATATAATCATCATATCAATGGGTTAAAGAACAAACCAAAAAAAAAGAATTTAGCTTTATAATGAATACTAGTGTGGCAAAGCCAACAAAAATTTATTTGCCAATGACTCATTGTCAGTCATTTATTTCACTTATCAAGTCTCTAGGATTTTTTAATTTCACTATATAGACACATTTCAGATGATCAAATGCATGGGTTTAAAGCAAAATCTCTTTTGCAATTCAGACTGTCAAATAGGAAACAAAATATATTATTTAGACTTTTAGAGGCCAGTATGTACTTTAGACGATATTCAGAATTTTTGTGAAGAAATCTGTAAAAGCATCATTTTTTTCCTCCTTCTCCCTCTTGTCTTCAGATTGTATCCTCTCTCTCCTCTCCTCCCTCTCCATTTATACACAAATACTCTCACACTTAGGCAGGATAATCATCACTTTTACACTTAGAAAAATACGCAATCTGAAGTCCATACAGGTTTATATAAGGGCACCACAGTTGGTCTTGCCAACTCCGTACATCTTCCCTTACCCTCAATGAGAGCAAGGCTACCTTTTAAATCAGATAGCAGACATACCTTAGAAGCTCGTGTGATGATCTCTACCTTTCGGTGCAAGGAAGTGATACCCTCAGAGAAGACAGATCTGAAGATTATGCACTGGGCACGTTCAGCAAAATTAGGAATTTGAGCTAACTCATGTAAAAATCTGTAAAAAAAAAAAAAAAGTAAATAATTTAACTTCTTGTATAATCACAAGGAAAATGAAAAACAGCTTAAAAAGATCCACTATGAGAACATTCCTTATTTGACAATTTCAAGTTAACAATTATAAAGGGTATCAGATAGGCAGACGCAGGGAACTCCAAGGGTATGTGCTGACAATAGAACCACTTATGGTGGGGTGGGGGGTGGGGGGTGTTCTATGACGGTGAATAAACATATGACGTACAAATTACTTTAGGAATAGAAAGCTATGCAAGCTCTAAACAAGCTCTCTAGCTCCTGCTACCCAAGTGAGTAATTCAAGTGGAAAGCCCTAGTCTTTAGCATATGAAAAAAATAACAATAAACTCCCTTATAAAGCAGCATTCTCTAAAGGTGTGTTTATACAGTCTAAGCAAATTGAAGACTTAAGGCAAATGTTTACAGGCCATGATAAAAATTCTCTTACTGAAGTGAGATTGCTATTATTTTTGCTCAGCGAATTACCTAATGGTCTATAATAATCAAATTCTCCAGATATGTGCTTACTATGTCATATCATCTTACCCGACACAGCTCATAGCTCAGTACCTACAATAAAACAGCACTCATTAAGTAAATAATCTAAAGTTTCTTTTAAAAATATGGCAAGACAGATCTTAAAAGCTAAAGGTAAGTACTGACCTACACACAGTTGCTCACTGTCTGAGCAGTTGGGCACTGGTGCCCTTTGTAAAATTAAGTTGGAAGAGATACATGATCTCCAGGCCAAGCACCAGTGGAAGAGTATAAACTAAAATGGGTGGAAACAGTTGGATATGAATTCAGAAAAAGGAGAGAATCCACTAACAGCCATTTATTTCATTTTGGAGTTGAAATGATGATTAACTGATATTTCTGAAAGTCTTGGTCAACTCATAACATTATTACTATGACATTTTGCAATCTCTTACCAAGAATGGTTTTACACAGGAGCAAAGCTGGAACTTCCTTCTTTCTATTCCCAAATAAATTTTCTCAGCGTATACTCTGTGTCTTCTCTAACTTCAGGAAGATTGGGGTTTTAATAAGTTTCTAATTATCATGTTTTTCTTACTTATCTTACAACTAGATCATAGTCCTTTCTAAAATGACATTGTATTAAAGCAAGGAATATCCATAAAAGAAAATACAGCCTTATATTAAGGTTCAATAACTCTTATTATGATGAAAATTATATTATGGAACACAAAAGTAGAAATCCATAGGAATTCTAGATGAGGACAAGATGAAAAAAATAAATTCTACATGTAAACTGTTTCTTTACAAACCCAATATTAAACAATCAATTCATTTATGATGACTGACATAAGAAGTATCACTGGTTTTTACAAATATACGAGAAGATAAAAGCTCGTAGGACTGGCAGCATTTGATCTTCTGACGAGTCTTGGTAGGATTTAATTATTTAGATGCTAAATTATCTCAAAGTAAGTGCCCTGCATTTTCCCTGTTCCACATGTTGCCATGAGATATCATTACCCAAGAAGGGACCAGATCCCAGAGTACATGCACTTCCTATTTAATATGAACGCAGTGAGCGAAACTGATACAGACACCAGGTAACAGAATGTACAGATTGGTGCTCAGCTCATCCACAAGGACATAGATGAAAAGTAGGAGACGCTGGATGAATAATTTCTTAGAACTAGTCTCAAAAGAGGAGGTTTAGGACCAATATGAGGAGACAAGATCATTAGCTCATGAATTTCAGTTACTCAAGAAAGAATAAAATAGAACTACCAAGGCTCCCCAGTATTTAAGCCTTACTGGGATTAGGGCTTATACTGCAAAGGCTCTTAAAGAAACGTAAAGTTCCAGTGCCCTCTGGAGAAGAGTCTGAAACACATACACAGAGCTGGAGTGGGAAGTAAAGTTCAAGAATTTTACACTACTTTTGGATAGAACCGTGTCATTGAAAATTAATTCTAGAGTATCCGTCACCAAGAATGCCAGTCAGCCCTTTAGCCATGTACAAAGCATTTACAGAGTGTCCAGTGTCCATGCTAAGATTTGGGAATGGAATTTAACATGCACACAATTCCTTCTTGACAATCTGAGAAATAAATCAGTGATTACTGTGGAGTATAATGAGAGCCACTAGTGATGAGGTCTACAAAGGGAGCTATGGATGAGGTCAGCTAGGGTTCCTAGAACCCTGTGATGCTTGTGTACCACCTGTGAGAAACTACCAGGAGGAATGAAACACGCTGAATGGTGCCTATGAGGGAACTGAGTAGAAAGCAGATGCTAAAATAGGGCTCTGTGTTCTAAAATGAGTTTAAACTTTTTCTGAGTAAATGAAGGGTTTTAAACCGATAAGTGGTACTTTCAGGTTTTTGTTTTAGGAAATCCCCATGGTAGTGGCTCATCTGTTGGTAATAAGAAATTTGAGAGCCGGGCTCGGTGACTCAGCAATAAATAAAAAATGAGCCGGGCGTGGTGGCGCGCACCTGTAGTTCCAGCTACTTGGAAGGCTGAGGCAGAAGGATCGCCAGAGCCCAGCAGATCGAGGCTGCGATGTCCGGGAGCGGCCACTGCACTCCAGTCTGGGTGACAGAGTGAGACTCCATCTCAAAAAAAAAAAAAAAAGAAGAAAAGAAATTTGAGGCTAGGAGACCTATTAGACCACTGCTGTACTATTCCAAGAGGGAAGATGAGAGGGCCTGCTGTGTGAACGGAGAGGGATGGATGACAAAGTTACTAAGGCAACAAGATCTACAGTAATCTAATCCCAAAGGATATTAAAAAGGGTCCAGGATGACTTGTGGGTTTTTGGCTTGGACACATGGTTTGATGTGAAGATACAAAATAATGAAGATGCATTTAAAAAATAGTATTTTATGTCATTTGCTGTCCAAAAATAGTCATGCGAAAAGCATCATAGCTTCTTTTCCATTTATCTGGTAAAGTAGGAGAAGTATGGGTAACCTTGAAGACTGTGAATCAAATGTCTGATAAATATCTCTCCCCTACCCAGTTTTATATTCTACCCACAAGAGCAGGGATAATAACTCTTTTACATAATCCCAAGTTTAGGATCTTGGACACTGAACCTTGGTACTTACGAATATTTGTAGACTGATTTCCTTTTGGGCTAGTCTAACTTGATATTCTATGTTCAATAACAGGGAGCACTAAATACCCCCCCCCAAGGAAGCCACAATGAGGAGTGAATCTCCTTTTCCCAGTGGCTAGTCTTCCCAGAAAGGATTTTTCCTTTAGCCTGTACATCTGAGAGAAGTGCTGTGTCTCACACTGTTTGGGTTATACATCCACAGCAATAACTCAGCTGACAGGTGGAATGATACAACGTTGCCTGCTGTTTTCAAGGACTAACATTTAGTTATTTCCCCTAAATCCCTGAATGATATTATCTAAGGTGTGTGTGTACACGGGTATTAGTCACACGGTGCAATGTCCTATTATAACCTATATTCTTCCATGGAGGAATACACTAACACAGCCTAGACTATGGGGGTCCCAAGGCAGCCATGAACCCTAGTAGAGCATCTCAGTAGGTTGTATGTTATATCCTCGCTCTAGGCCATGGTGAGTGTGCATCAGTCCTAATCAAACCCGTAAAGCCTCACCTCAACACCATCACTGGGCAGAATCAAGGACCAAACCTAGAGGGAGTGGCTCTCAGACAGCCTGGTCCCAAGCAGATGACACCTCTGTGGGAAATGGTTTTCTAAATCTGGCACTGGGGTGTAAGAGAGTTGATGAGGTGAGTGATGAGGCCAGCCTCTCCATGCTATGATTTATAGGACTGGGCACCACAGGACTCTTAGGAAACTGCAATGCTAAAACTATAAATGATTCATATTTTCCAGTATGTAAAACGTGCTTATAGTTGACTCACTTGGAGTTCATGGCAAATAAGTTGCCAGAGAATCAGACTCTGGCATGGATCAAACAAATGCTGGCCTGTGCTAGAGGTCAGGAGCAAAGATGAAATGCACCCAAGTCTCAAGGACCCCACCTCTGTATGCCTCACCCTCCTGAGCCTGAGCACATCACCTCACCAGCACTGACAGGACAGTTCTCTCTGCTGGCAATAATAGTTTGGTGTGTTCAAGATGCCATTACAACGACCATTTACAAACTTTAAAAATGCTTTTCTGTCTAGATCATCAGTAGAGAAAACAAGAATAATAAGTTGTCTGTTAATTACCTGCCACCAGTATTCTATGTCCTGGCAATTAGTCTTGAAAAATAATGCTAGAAAGGTATTAACACAAAAGAAAAAGGGAGAAGGCTTCCAGTAGCAGAAGCAAACAAACTCTCCCTGGTTGTTCATTTCACTAGGTCAGCCATTTCCACAGCTTACAGCAGAGGCTACTCAGTGGTTAAAGAATTGGCACATGACAGCTCACGGGCCAAATCCACTTATTTTTGTCCTGCCCATGAGCTAAGAATGATTTTTACATTTTGCAATTCTTGGAATAAGAATAAATAAAAGGATAATATTTTACAATATATAAAAATGATATGAAATTCAAATTTCCATGTTTGTAAACAAAATTTCACTGGGACACAGCCACATTCACTTGTTTATGTATTGGGTCTATGGCTGATTTTGCACTGCAGTGGCTGACTTGAATAGTTGTGACAGAGCCCATGACCCAGAAAACCTAAAATACTTTTTATCTGGTCTTTTACAGGAAAAGTTTGCTAGCTCCAGGCTTAGAGGAGAGTATCACCACACAACTTGGCATAACCGGTACTACCCAAATGTCTTGATATACCTGCTTGAGAGGGTTGGCCTGAATTGGGCATGAAGCATTCAAGGTAGCAACAGGCAAAGGAGCACACAACCCCTCGCCCCATCTACTCTGAACTCTTTCTACATTTTCACAGAGTCCCGGGCCCTGAGAAGCTGGGTGGGGTCATAAGGCTGCGGAGCCCCAGAAGCTTTTCTGTGTTTTGGAGATCCTGAGAGCCCAGTCATGGACAAGAGTTGTTCAGCTATGCACCAGAGTTCTGTAACAATTCCAAACTATAGAGCAGCAGCTCTAGATAAGGAGAGAAGAACAAGCACATGCACAGTGAGGACGAGAAGGTCGTGACTAACTTGGGCAGAGCAGGTGGGGAAATTTGAGGGCAAGCTGGCGCATTCAGGCTACAGTTACGGGAAATGACAGTTAGGAAAATAAATTTGAATTCTGTGACTCTGATATCATCTTTTTAACTACATTAGCAGAACCTTAAACAGAGCAATGCCTTCTTCCTTCCTCAGTTACCCTTTTGGCCAAAATATTTAGTCTAGGAGGAATTAACAAGTTGCTAGAAGAAGAAAGGAGAGTTGCCTTGTGTGGGGGAGGAGGGGTGAGACACATTGTATCCAGCAGCACAAATCTCAGCTCTGCTCCCCGCCTCCCCCCAACAGGGTCATTCTGCTGTGTGCAATAGGTCACAGGAATGATGGTGCTGTGACTTAGCTCACTGCATAATTTAGATTCGGTTACTCAGAGCCAGGAGACTAGAAGATAGAAATTGCAGTTCTCCTGGCCGGAGAGAAAAAGTGGTCAAGCGTCCTTACTGCTCAGGTTTGTCCAGCAGCTTCAATTCCTCCTCTTTGGATGTCTCGTAATACTTTCTTATTTTAGCCAGTTCATCCTCTTGGGCTCTCTGGATTGAAACAGAAAACAAAAGCAGCAGTGAAAATCTGTCTGTGGTAGTGGGTTTCCAAGTGTGGCCCTTAGACCAGCAGCATCAACATCGCCTGTCACTTGTTAGAGATGCAAATCATTGGCCCTGCCCTAGACACAGGAAACTCCAGGGGTGGGGCCAGCAAACCCTCCAGGTGATTCTGATGCATGCTAAAATTTAAGAATCATTGGCTAATGCGAGTGCACGTAGCCAGACACAGAAGTCCAGACACTTGATTGCTACCTTTGAATCCCATTTCTTTCCCTAAGAGCAGACTTGGGGCATATTGTTCTTAGGATTTCCTTCCTTACCCTCAGAACAGCCCTTGTAAATTACATAGCCTCCTGACTCTTTTATTTCTAGTCGCCATCTTCCCTTTTCCTGAATTTCCTAAGTATGTCTGTACCACTTATTATGGCATTTAGTCACATACTTTCTCAATTTATCCAACTGTTTCAGGTGTTTCATTGTTTCTACTGGGAGCTAGCTAGTAGCAGCCTTGTGCACAAGGCTCATGGTTACCTGAGCTCATGGTAACAATAAAAAGCATCTGGAAGGCACTGCCTTTGACATCAATTTCTGTGTCCTCATTTTATAGATGATTCCATTGAGGCTTGTACTAAGTAACTGGTAACGAGCTTCTGACTCGGAATCCCTCTTCCTGCCCCTATACCTTGTTGATTTCTAAGTATTCAACAAATGCATAATTATCTCCCAATAGCCTGTATTTATGTGTCTTCGGGTTTATTAATGAAAACTTTACTGATGGAAACATGAAAGAAGTTTCCACCCAGTTGTACTAAATAGCTCCTGATATATATACAAAGAATGTGAAAATGAGCAGGGAATTGGTATTCCCACCAGGCCTAGAATATTAGACTATGGAAATTTTCTATAAGAGACTTAAAGTCCCAGGGGACATAGATATGAAATAAATCATCTTTTGCACTGGGTGACCACAGCATACCATACAGCTCAGACAACTTCCTGGGAAATACCATTACTTGGGAAAATCTGGTTCAATCTATGTTTTTGCATCCTAACAGTCAGTGAGCAAGAACAATGAACAATCGTGGGAATTCTGACTCTCCTGGGCCATCTTCTCAAGAAAGCCTGCCAATTCTGCTGGTTATTTCCAGTTATAACCCAAATCAAAGGCCCTTATATTTGTATAGTGCTATTTACTTTCAAAATACATTGCTACTACTACATATATTAAATCCTCATTTAATACAAAAAATTAGATAGAACCCACTATAATCTCTATTGTACCGATGATCAAACAGGATAAAAGAGTTGAAGTAATTGGTCTAAGGTCACTTAAGACAATGGTATAGCTACCTCAAGGCCAAGACTGCCTGACTAAAATCCAAAACACACACCCACCATCCTATACTGCTGCCCACATTCAATGCCATCAACTCATCTGGACTACGAGTAGTCATCCAAGCTGGTATTAGCATTCCTGCTCCTCAGAGGAAGACACTGGTGTATGCCATCATTTAAGTAGGCAGTTTAACCTTCATTCACTCTGTGGGCAAATGACATGGCTGGGTTCTAGGGCATGTATGTGGTTTCCACCTGAACTATCTTGCCTTGCCTTGCAGGTGTGTAATGAGATCTGCTAACCAGACACCACAGTGGGAGTTAGAAGCCCAGGGCTTCTCTCACACCCACTCCCTTGTGTTTCTGTGCCTTAATCTCTTCTGTGCTACGTCAAAGTTCTTACTACCAAAGAACACAAACGGCTCAGTGATTTTTGATTTTGGTGGGGGGGATGAAAGAAAAATATGAACACTATAGCTCTGGACGTCTTTGACACTCACATTTTCATATAAGGCCGCCAGGGTCTCCAGGTCTACCACAGAGTCATCCACATTGAAAATGGCTGCCGAGGACCCAAAAAGAAAAGGGGGTAAGAGATTTGATTAGATACCCCGGTCCAACATTTACTCTACATCCAGCTTCCAAGCAATTAGTACAGAATTGCACTTTCTTACACAAGTTGTGCCTCCTCTCAAGCTTGTTTCTGCTCTCCTTCCTTTCGCACCAGGGGCTCAAATGAAAGAAACCAAAATGGTTCCTATACCTGGTTGGAGCCTTGGTTCTGCCTTGTTTAATTCCTCAAGCTCTGCGTCCTTTTTGCAGTTTAATTTAGGCTCCACAGGAGAAGTGTTTGTGTTTTAAAACTAAATCAGTTTGTAGGTTTGAGACACAATTTTAAATCTTTCTTGCCGGATGGTAATTGAAGAGATTTAGTACCTAATGCACCAGAACTGACTCTTGCCCATTACCAGAAAGAGAGTGAGAAAAAAGACAATGTTGGCAAATTAAATGAATTCAGGCATGTGATTTGAGGCGCCTCTCCATGGTCACTGCAAACATCTTGTTTGGATTAAAAAGACAAGAAGAAAGCAATAATTGCATCAATGGCAAATTAAGATTATGGAAACCTCCCATGAGCCAGTCTTAAGGCAAGTTCCCATTCCCATAGTTTTATTAGAATTCTACTTGTTCTGTATCTTAAATAAGTCATTTAGCAGTTAGCTAATATGCTTATGACTTTATCTAAAGAGGTTCCTTTCCATATAGGCTGGGATTTTAAAGCCGTAATGGATTAGGCTATCAAAGTGTTTGAAATAGGCAGGTCCACATCTTTAAATAATTATTCAAAACTAATAAGGTTTGTTCCCTCAAACCTACCTCCCTTCTCTGACTTTACATTGTGAAATTAACCAGCACACTAGTAAATTTTCTCTGTGGCAGGCTAATTAATTTTATTAAACCAACCAGTGATACTTAGAATGTCTTAAAATTTTGTCAACCATTACTCTGTGTATTTGCATTATACCACGGTTCTTAGAGAAGGCAGGGACAGACTGATTCTGAATTGTTTTCCTTCTTCTGCAGTTCAGAATCATATGCATCCTTTCACACAATTTTGACAAATTAATTAACTGAGCTAAGATCATATAATTTCACAGAACACTGAGAAATGCATTTAAAATTCCTTCACAGGCTACCTTCTCGAGCTTAGGAGTAAGTTAGTCAGAATGCTATTCCTAGATATGTGAGTTAGTGAGAAAAGAAGAGGTTAACATGCTAGTGACAAAGTAAGTCGCCTCAGATTCCACTAAGAAAAGGAAAATTATACTTCTCAAAAGGCCAGCCCAAGACCACAAAAGAAAATGTAGTTCAAGGAAAGAATGAGAGAATTTACACTCTCAGGTCTGTTATTTTGTGTGTAGCAATAATATAAATTCACTAATTTATCAGGAACATGCATTTTGTAATGTCTCATGCTTCATAACCACAAAATAGCAAAATGATGGTTTTTTAAAGTGTAAATCTGAATATTCTTCCACAAAAATAAGCCAACTAGTTGAGGGAAACTGCTAGGGGAGGGAGGGGCATACCTCATCAACGAGGGTACCTGCATAATCAATGTTTGTGTACCTAACCCTAAACTGTACCCCATATCTTTATAATAAAAAATTAATAAACATAGTTTCAGAAAATAAAGACTTAAATGTACCTCTTAAAAAAAAAAAATAAGCCACCTAATGAATGCATTGGAAAAGGTAAAACTCAAAAAATAATTTATTAGAAATGTTTACTTTTAAATGAATCAAAATGCTAAGTAACTATACACTTACATATAATTAAGTAATCTTAACTAATGGTAAGAGAATGATCTGTGACTTTCTTTTTCTAGTAAATATTCAGTTTTAAAAAGTTAATCAGAGCCAGGAGTGGTGGCTCACGCCTGTAATCCCAGCACTTTGGGAGGTGGAGGTGAGAGGATTGCCTGAGCCCAGGGATTCAAGACCAGCCTGGGCACCTTGGTGAGATGTTGTCTCTACAATAAAAAAATTAGCCAGGTGTGGTGGCGTGCACCTATGATTCCAGCTACTTGAATGGTTGAGACTGAAGGATTGCCTGAGCCCAGCAGGCGAGGCTGTCTGTGGTGGCCAGGAGTGTGCCACTGCACTCCAGCATGGGCAGCAGAGTGAGACTCTGACTCAAAAAACAAAAACAAAAACAAAATCCCCAAAAAGTTAATCGGTTTAAAAAAAAAAGTGTATCAGTCCAGATACACTTTGAGAGGTTACACTGTCAGTTAATCCCCGCCAAGTGTGTTAGGTAGCAGAAAGAAAAACCTGGAGAAGATGGACCACAAAGACAAGCATGAGCTCTAGAGACATGCATTCATTCATTCACCCAGCCCTCAAACAAATATGTGGTGAATGTGCATTAGGCTCAGAAACTATTCCAAAATGCTGAGGATATTTATGTCAGAAGTGTGTAAGACATTCAAAGCACTTAATCTCATGGAATTTATATTCTAGATTGGGGGCAGAAAGTAAACAAGTAAATACATGGTTTCAGATAACAAGCCACTATGAAAAAAATAAAACAGAAATGCACAACACTACATGAACAAGGAAGGCCTCTTTGAGCAGGTGATATTTAAGAACTGAAGAAGTCAGTTTTGTGAATATGTGAGAGAAGAATGTTTCAGGAAGAGAGGAAACGGTAAAGATAAATTTCTTTTTCTTCATCAGTACATTTGAGGTACAGATTAACTACCATGAATAGAGTAAAATTTACTCACTATGTGATCCTGATATGCTAAACTGTCTGAGCCTTAGCATATCTGTAAAATGGATCTAATACCACTTACTGAAAATATTAAGCGAGGTAATATGTATGCTCCTTATAGCACATAGAACATGGTATGAACTCAAAATGGTACCTATGAACTATGACAATATGATTTCAAATATTTACACTGTTGATGTGTTTTAATGCTTGTTTATGTCTTTCCTTTAACATCTGGAAAGAACTACAAGATTTGAGCTATAAATGCTACTTTCCAGAATTCTTTGGTTTCAGACAGTAGTTGCTATGAAACCCTTTCAGTCCTTTAAAATCCCACTCAAGGCCCAGCTTCAGGAAGAATTAACAGGAAAGGATATAGATGCACAAATAACTCTAATTACAAAAAATAATGTATCAAATGTCTTAGGGTAAATACAAAATACCTCTGGGTCTATTGAGAATGTTAAACCTATAGTTATCTTCAGTTTCAATCTTTCCCATCAATCCATCATTCACCATACCACCAAAGTTATTTTTTAAAAACACAAATCTCAAAAATTTACTGTGATGTTTTAAATACCTCCAATATTTTCCTTTAAATGTTGGATGAAGTCCAAACTCCTTGGCCTAGGTTTTAAACTTACTCCTTGCCGGGCCCCAAACTACACCTTCAATCTCATCTCCTGCCACTTCCTTCATGCACCATGGGTTCCAGTCACATTGCGCAACTCCCCGTTTCTGAACATGTCATGGTTTCCTCCCTTTCCACACCTCATCCTCCAAGGTCCAGAGGTCAAAGCCTTCCTGCCCTGGAAGGACACCTCTTGACCTTCGGATCATGAAGTCCTCAATCTTTTCCTCTGCCATGGCACTTCACTCATATTTTACATAAGCTAAAGATAGTATATTTTATGAATCTGTATTATGATATTTTGTATATCAGTTCCCTTCCCCCACTAGACTGTGAGAGCCTTGTATTAAGGGGTTACCTCTTATGCATCTTGATAACTGTAGCCCCCAGCATAGATCATGAAGTGCAACTGGTATAAAATAAATGTTTGTAGATGTGACCTATGTCATGAAACTCCTGAAGAGTAAGTCCTTCTGCTGAGGTGAGGAAAAGTTTATTGTCAAATAGAGTATGGGGTTTTGAAAAAGAAAACAGAGAGATTTCAAAGGGGGGGTAGGATTTTGATAGATTAAAATCTTTATAAGTATATGTATTTGAATTGTTTGCTTCTTTCCAATTTGTCCGGTCCAGAAATTAAGGTTTAGTCAGCAGTTACATAATCATGCCCCTCACTCAAACATTCTGTGTAGACATATTTCTTGCCTGAATGTTTCATAACAAAAATAATTAAGCTTAACAAATGAATTTTCTCATTATTAGGAAATGAAGAAAAAAATATCTTTTATGTCATTCTTAGCTTCAAAAGCTCTAAACAACAGCATCACCTTAGGAAAAAGGGCTAAAAGTAAAAGAGCAACCATTATATTGCTTCACATAGACAACTAAAACACCCATTTATTAATCGACTAATTAAGCCAAACTCAGCCTAAGCAATAACAATCTGTAAACATGTAGTAAGTGCCAGTGAACAGCACAAAGAAGGATGGCAGACATTCCACCTGGAAGAAGAAAATACAGACAGGCTCATACAACATTTAGGCAACAGCAGATAGTTCCATTTTGACTTAAAGAGAGACTTAAGTAAAGAGACCTGGGAGACAGATTTCAAAATAGTTTGGGGCAAGACCCTGTAGAATTTGGAATGCCATGATGAAGAGGCTGTAATGCACTTGATAGACAAGAAGGATTCACTGAACAGTTATGAGTAGAGCAGTAAATTGAAGTTACATTATAGAGAATAGGTCAACGTTTGAAAAGACAAGTTTAGAAGTTACTGTAAGCCGTGCTCAGTAGCTCAGCCTGTAATCCCACACCTTAGGAGGCTGAGGTGAGTGGATTGCCTGAGTCCGCGGGTTCGAGACCTGCCTGGGCAACTTGGTGAGACCTCATCTCTACAATAAATCAAAAAAATTAGCCAGGTGTGGTAGCACATGCCTGTAGTTCCAGCTACTTGGAAGGCTGAGGTGGAAGGATCACCGGAGTCCCAGCAGGTTGAGGCTGCGGTGGCCAGGAGCGGCCACTGCACTCCAATCTGGGTGACAGAGTGAGACTCCAACTCAAAAAAAAAAAAAAAAGAAGAAGCTACTGTAGTGTGTAAGAGGTAGCAAATACCCAAATCATGCAGACAGAAAGGATAGGGCAGAGCACTATTACAG